ATTTTCTTTCCTGCAGGTTTGAGTACAGCAATTAGTCACTTTGTAACAGTGTGTACCACCATACTTCCAGACTGTCTAGGTAACAATATCCCTTGCAGAATACATCCTGAGCTTCATCTTCCTACAAATATTGGAAGAAAAATTGCTATTCACTTTAGAGAACTCTTTGTATTTATGAAGCTGATAATTCATTTCCTAAAGTCCACTTCATACCAACCTGAGCTTTTTCCATTACAGTTCTTGAAGATTACTAACTTCATTCACCCTATTGGGACGAGTCTGTGTATATTACTATATATATTTGTAAGGAAAAACAAAGAAACTTCAACCCATAGCCTTCTTAAGAAAATAAGAACAATTCCTAGTTTCCCTGCCTGCCACATTCTAGCCTGATGGTTATTAGCTCCTGTATCTGCATTAATGAATATGGCATTTTTCTGTTTCCTGCATTAAACTACCGAATCATCTTTCTATGCCTGATTAAAAAAACAACCATATTTCATTAGGTTGAGAGGTGCAATAAATAGGTGCAACCAAGTGACTTTTAGGGTTTGAATTTAAAAAGGCATGTAGGAATATACGCCCCCATGGCTGTAAAAGCATTGGTGAGTTTTAGGCTTGTGAATGTCTGTGAATCCAAGCCTACATTACATGCTCCCAGATGCTTGTATTAGAGGAAGCTGTAGAATTTCCAAGTGTGGTTTATTACTACCAATGTTGAACTGCTAGCAGCTGAGTTACAAAGGGATCAACCTGGAGCTGCAAAGATTTGCCAGTTCTTAGGTGTGTGTTTTAGCAGGGGAACCACATTTGACTCCTACGTGCAGGAGTGTTTCACTGTCCTGAGGCAGGGTAGTTTTTCTGTAGGTAACTTCTTATGTGTTTTACTGTTCAAATATTTCTTAAACATAAAATCTAGTGGGTTAGAAACTAATCTCAACATTTCCTTCCTTCTGAACATCTGTAGCAATTAAAAGCATATTCTAGGAGAATCAGGCTCCCAGAGACAGAAATAACTACACACGAGCGATACAATCAGGTAGTAACTGGAGCCTTTGAGAATGAGGTTTGTTGACTCCATTTCTTGGGTTTCCTCTGTGTGATTAGATCAGCTCTAAACTGAGAGCCTGTGTAGCCATATCCTGTGTTTCCATTTATAATGTCAGATAACACCTTCCATCTCAGGATGTCTGTCCCCGCAGATATATTTTTGGTATTCTCTGAGGCAGAAAAGGGTTATAATCCGCATTTCATAGAGAATAAAATATGGAAATGTAAACAGACAGAGATGAAGCATTTTGCCCAAGGTTATAAGGAAAAAATCTACCCAGTTCAGGAATATAAGACAGATATTCTCTTTTTCTTATACTTTAACTAACTCTGGTTCCTTCCTACTTAGAATGCTTTCAATGCTTTTAAATGCTGCAATTATCCTTTGACTGCTTTCTATTTAAAGACAGGGATAAATACTCAGCACTTCTCTCGAAGGCACAACAGCAGCATATATTTGTTAACAGATTGTTCAGGTTTCTGAAACCTCCTGAAGAAAGAAGTCATTATCTTTCTAGGGCCAATATGGAGTTGAAAGTCAGGAAACCCTCATATCCTCAGTAAAAGAAAAAATAGTTAATGCTATATTCCAGATAATTTAGAAAGAATAGTTTTTCTCATGAAAATTGAAATTCACTGGATTGTGATTACAGTTATCACTATTGCTTTATGAGGGGGAGAGAGTATAATAACAGTGGCATAATCTTTATGTAAAAGTCTTCTAATAATCTAGTTTAGTAATGTCTTTTTTCTAAAATGAGCTGCTGGAAATCTGAAGAAATGAAATTTTCCTTTCTTTGTTTCTGATTTCTTAGAGAACTGCATGGTGAGCATTATTGTCCTGCTTTATAGGGACACTGTGAGACAATATGTGATCAAATAAGCAAACAAAACAGAGTCCAGTCCAGGAAACTATGCAGGTTCATTTCATTTCCCAGTCACTTCCTCTGCTGGACAGAAACACAACACAAACCAGACAGAGCTGTTTATCAAACCATTAAGATGGAAAACATCACACTGAGTCATTCCAACACAATCTGCTTCACTGAATAGAGAAAGAATTTCAGCAGCAAACCTTATATAAGCTAATACTTGAAAAATCAATTTTAGATGAAAACTGTACTTTTTCCTCAATTGTCTAATATAATGTGAGGCATCTAAATTCAGTTATGGGCAACTTAGTATTATTGCCTAGTTATATTTGCCTAAGGGCAAATGTTTATGGTGGGAGAACTTCACAATTTTTCCTGTTTACTTGGGGGTGCAGCATTACTCACAAGTGGGCCCCACATGTTGCCTACCTCTGCATGGAAAGAGGGGCATAAGGAGGAGGCTCCTGGGTGCCCAAGGATTGTTAAAATAGGGAGCTGGGAAATCTGGAGGCTTATGCTTGTCAGAAGTGACTCTGGGTGTTGTATGTCAATGTCGTTCTAATTACAGATGACAGACTCCACATATCTTCATGTAAAATTAATGTAATAAGGGAACTATCTATGTTAATAAGTACTGGCTCAGCTAATATATTGTGTGCATCTGGTAATCATAAATTTTCTGTCATTTTAATCCCCTATTCCATTTTGAGGATAAATTACTCATTGTTTGGAAATGGGCAAAATTGTCTAGAGAAAGTTAACATGTTTACAACTCTCAGCTGAAAATGATGGAAAGAGCAAATAATCAGCAAACTCTGGATTTCTGATAAAACCAAGTTGTTCTTCTACAAGGTAATTTAATTTTAAAAATGAGGTCGTTTGACTGCATGATAAGAACAAGTTATAGACTGCTGGGAGAGATCTCCCCCGGTGAGTTCTCCAGGTTATATTTCTATCCGTGTTAGCTTCAGAAGATGCAGCTGAACAACTGCAACCTGAGAACACAGGAGTACCACAGCAGAAATGAGACAAGCAAAACACAAATGCTGAGACGTGGCATTTAGTAAAACAAGCATCAGAGCCTGAATCTAATATTCTGCTACTATGAAGAGCAGAACAGCACTAAAACAAGTCAGAGCTCAGGTTTGATCTCAGAGAGTCCTTTTCTCTGCTTGACAAGGCGTGTTATCGGTAAGCTGCGCTATAAACTTGCTACTGCTGCTAGTAATCATGGAACAGTGAGGTTGGTCGTGTTGCTGTATTTGTTTTGTCGTAAGGAGAATGGCTTACGAGCATGAAATCAGGTTTATCTGGAACATCCAACTGACGTGATCAGTCCGGAGGCCGTTCTTTTGGGTCTGCAGAAGACTTGCACACAAAAGATCAGAGTGCTCCGTAAAAAAGTGTTTTCAGCCCATCGCCATGCCCGGAGCCGGCGGCAGGTGTCACTGCAGAAGGCGCAGACAAGGCGGTGGCGGTTCCCCAGCCGCGCTCGCTCCGGCGCCGTCAGAGCCCTGCGGGGCTCCGCTGTGACAGCCCGGCCACGGGCTCGGGGCTCTGCACCAGCTGCCGTCAGCTAACTGCAGCGCTACCTGCCTATCGCCAGAGACGGAGAGAAGGGCACGTACCCCCGAGTTAGGAAAGGGTATTCTCTCCTGTATTCTTATTTGAATGTGGACTGCAGATCACTTAGGATCTTCTCTCACTTGGGAGAAGGGGCTGTTCAGTTCTGCCTTGCTGTCACAGGATGCATTAACTGTTCAGCACTTATTCCTGCTTTCTGCCTGCTCTGACTGGTGTTGTTTGTGCACATTCTAGAGACGGTCCGGACTTGCCCAGAAACCAAACTAACTTCCTATGCACACCCCAGGCCATGGGCTCTTCCCAAAGCTTTTGCTCAGGCAAACGCTTCAGCAGCAGTTCAGTTCTGCAGGTTCACACTTGATCATTTCAGCTGTTAAAAAAACCGTGTGGTGCAGCACAGAGATGCCTTTCTTTCCTTTCTACAATTGTCCATCTAAGGGAGGAATACATCATCATCCCCTCATGACTGGCCCAGAAACTAAGTCCCGTACTTTTCTCACAGCTGGCAAAGCTAGCCAGGCAGAGCAGACTGAGGTCCAGGGAAAGTTCAGTGAGATTGCACTGAAGCTTAGAAAGGGGTATATTGGAAGAGGGAAAGATCTTCCATCTGTACAGCTTGCTCAGGGATCTGCATTACCCAGTCCCACCAGCCAAATCACTGCTTCTAAGGCAAAAGACAGATTTTTGTGGTGATCACTAAGCAATACAACACCACCTGGGGATAAGGGATATATGAACATAATAAAGCAGGTCATTCTACAAAGTGTGCTACTCTCACTGTCCCTGTAAAAAGCACAGAGATCACATGAGGTATAGCTGCTAAGAGTCAAAACAGCTAGGATGTAGTTTTTGTACTGTCAGCGCCCCTCCACACTATCATCTCCTAGAGAAACAGGAGCTGATGCTATCCCTCTTCACATCTTCTCTTCCAAAACTTCCCCGGCCTTCTGAGCAAAATCTCTGGCTTACAAAATATCAGATTGAATGCTTCATAAATTCATACGAGAATAGTAAGCTTTCTTGCACCAGAGGAGTGGTTTGAGCTGTTTTGCCTCTGTGACTCTCACTCTTGGGGCACTAGCTTCCCACATTTCTGAGGGTTTGCCTCGACAGACTGCTGTTGGACCACACATGTGTTCTGCATGCCCTTGTGTTCTTCTCCCTGAAGGCATTAAATATGGAGCAGCCCCATCTGCCGTTCCGTTCTTTTGCCATGTATACTCCAGAATAACAGGACTCTGTAGCAGTGGGGGAGGAGAACAGCTTGTGAAAAGAGAACAAACACAAAAATAAATTTTGTAGAATTAAAATTTGTTCAGAATCCAACAAATTATCAGGGCTGTCTCAGCAGGTATATGAGATTTTAGCTTGTGATATCAGTGCTGTTCAGGAGAGACAATAACGCTCAGAATTTAAGTAGAAAGAGGATGTTCAGCTTCAGACACTGAAAAAGATCAAGCAACAGCTAATCAAATTTCGTTTTTTTTCTCCTAGATGAACAACTTCCACAAGTGCATGAGAGGGCATGATGCTGTCAAGCATGCCAGAGGAACTGAGTTAAATCAAAAAGGCACAATGTCACCCTTGGGAGAACAGGAGGAGGTATGCAGAACACCTTTCGCTGCTGTGGTGCACAAGAGCCTGAGGTTGCAGCGATGACCTTCGGGACACCCTGCAAGATTCAACTGCTTACCCAGCTCTTCTCTGCGGGTGTGAGGAAGGGTCCTATGATTTATTGTGTATTTTTTGTTGAGGCTGGTGATTCTTTGGTGTGTGTAGTTCATTCACAGGATGAAATGGGTCTATGAAAAATCAAAGTGCATCATTGCTTTCAGATGGTAAGTTCCATCTTGTCAGTTATAGCAATTTTTTTTTTCCCTAAAGATAAAAAACAGAAGTGCATTTTATAACTTTTGGGCTATTATTCAAAAATTTCTTTCTGTCTCATGTCTTTTTGTACATACTCCTTAGAAACATGAATAAATCTGTGGAAAAATCTTGATAATATATTGGAATGTGATCTGTAAGATCATAATTAAATTAATATATTTATATTTTTACTAATAATAGACGTGACTTAAAATAAAAACATAGAGAATTCAGTTGTCTGCTATGATTTACATTAATCCATAAGTATTCAAAAGTGGTCATAAATTGCAGAAAAATAATAAAATGCAATAAAAATAAAGGAATTAATACGAATTATCTAACATAAAAAATGCATTATTTATTATACACTATATTTTTCCTATTTTGAAAACATATCATCCAGTCAAGAAGCAAGTACATAGCTTAGATGATTAGTTACATACACCAGAGAATGCATATCAAGATACAGAGTAAAAGAATATTCATATACTGAATGCTGTTTGGTAGAGAAAACAAAACACAAATATTACAGCAAGCTGATTAGGACCTTCCAGAGCTCATTACAGAAATGCACTAAACAACAGTTAGTTTTGTTTACTCTACAATACAAAAAACTGGCATTAATTTTGGATAGATATTTTTCACCATTATTTACTCAACCAGATCATGCATTTTTGGAGGCACAAGCAGATTTAACTTGAACACTTCAAACAGAATTAAATGTAAATGTCACTTAAAGAGTCCTTAAAACATCTTACATCAGTGTAACTGAAATCAATTTTAGGTACAGCTGTCAGCTAAATAAAGGAAACAAAATTATTGACAGTTTACTTTGTAGTTCAAGTTCATTTTCTGTTGACTTTGTTGTCATCTGTGCATGATTGCTGCTTCTCTTTTCCAGAATAGAACTGTTCTGTTCCAACGTCTTTTGTGCTCTAAGATGCCAGTGTAGAGCTTCAGTATTTGTTCCAGTAAACAGATTCCTCCAGCTCAATAACACTTTTTTCTCGGTTTGTTTGATGAGGCCGAGGTCAGGAAACAAAAGGATTTTGTTCTCCGGATACTGGATATTGCATTGCTAGAGTTGCTTTCAGCAGTCTTTCGTGTTCTCCTGTTTCAAACTTAGATGAAATAAAAACACTCCCACTGTTGTTCACAGTCACGTTCCCCTCACTGGTATTCTACAGCACTTTTCCCATAAAATATGTTTCTACCCAATATGACTTTCCAGAAGTTCAGTTTGAGTTTAGTAATATTTGAAACAGGATCTCTGTGGCCTGTACCAGAGGGGGGAACAAAGGTTGTGCACAACTCCAGACTTCATTTGGTTCTCAGTTGCTTCCTGCCTTTTGTCTAGTGACACACATTTCACAAAGGAATACAGACACCTCAGACACCTTCTCCACCTGCAGCCCATGAAATTTTAAAGACACTTTTAGCCTCTTTACTTCCCCTTATCATGGAAATACAAGCCTTCAGGAAAAAAGTGGAACACACATCTAGGGGGAGAAACTATTTAGCTATCTTACTATAGCCTGCCCACATACCATGGTATCTGAACTCATCCCCACAGTGTGTGCACATGCTTCCGATACAGCCCAGACCACACCATGGATAGGCCCCAGTATGTACTTGTTATCTAACTCTTTGTGATGTCTGGTTTGCCAAGCACTCTATTTAAAGGTATTTATCTGGAAGTAATTATTTTAATACCCTGAGAAACTGCCTGTTAGGATAGATAGAACCATACTTTCACCACAGTGATGCACAAAATTAAATCCATAATAATTTTAAGCAATATTTTGATATTTCCTATACTTAAAAGACACAGCTTAACACTAACTGAAAAAACACAAAAACACAGTCAAAGGCAACACCACCAACTAAAGCATTTGTTTAATTTAATAATAAAATTAAAACTTTAATTTTTAAAAACATTTGACAATAAAGAACCATCACAATTTAATACATAGTTTCTCTTCACAAATACCATCTCCTTTTCCCATTACAGTTTGACAATGGATTACTTGTCTGCTGGAAGTAATTATATTATATTCTTATTTCAGCTGATTGCAAGCAAACCTTTCCATAAAATTCTTGACAGGAATTCTGTCCAAAGAAGCCTCTGTAGCAATGATGTCAGGTGTAGCTCTGTGCTAAGAGAACTGTGCAGAGTATGCATTGCATGCCCTGAGGAACAGCTGTCTGCACACCAGTGGAGTTCTCAGAGGGCTGCTCTGTCTCTGGACAGCACAGGAGTTATCCCAGGGAGCTTGAGCAGCAGCACTCCCCCTTCCCACAGGATGAGCACTGCTCACATCCCGAACTGCCCACACAGCTGAGGACTCAGGACAGCAAACTTCCTTTACATTCAACAAGCCTACTATATATTTGGACAATCTGCTGTGTGTATGTTTCTGCTGCAATGTTCTGTTCATGATATGATTGTGACAAGACAAATTTAAATGGACAGTTACAATAATCCATTACCATTTATTTTCAGAAATTTTAGCAGATGTGTGTTTTTTGCATAGCCTTTTCATAACAAAACAGATTCATAATCTTATGCTCCCCTGCAGGCAAAGACTTTCTGTCTGAAAAACATCACTGGCTTCTAATTGGAGAAGCAGGCAGAAAAGAGAGGAACATTTTAATTACCTTTCGTAAAATACTGTATCCTTGTATCAGTCTTGAGATCAGCAAGGTACTTGGGGAATATGTCCTCTTAGACACTCATCAGCTTCTCTATCACAAGATTTATGGTCTCTCTCCTTAATCTCTACAGTTGAGGTATGTCAATCTTTTACATACATCAGTATATAAAAGTGTGGATTGATTAATAATGTAATTTATCAGAAATCAAAAAGCACAACAACAGAGCCTTTTTTGTCTTTCCCAGATCTTTCTTTTGATATGCATGCTAGCCCATAGCATAAAAGTCTCAGCATTCCACATCACTAGAAACGTACTTCTTCTCACATGAATTTTCAGACTGTTGTGCTGAATAACATAGGTGAAAAGTTATTTTAGGGTTTGAAATTTTCATGTTCTGAACAGCCATTGTGTGCATGCAGGAGAAAAAGCAAAAAAACTGACCAGTAAAAATACCATTGCAGGTAAAAGTTCAGGAAGGAATTATTTCTCCAGATTCTCCCTGTAAAAATTAGAATACATTTTTCTGGATATGTATTATTCTATTATTTTAACAATTTTTATATACCTATGTTTCACTAATAGGAAAAGTAGGCAAGAATATGGACAATGAATTAAAAGACCTTTAGTTAGAGGTCATGGACAGACCAGTTTTGGTGACTCAGACACAATATGATCAAGTTTATTTACTGTTAGGAAGAGCTTCTCATTTGATTCACATAGTCAAGAGCCATCTTTATATAAAGTCCTTGGCCATTTTCCTGGGAATGCACAACTGCTGCCACAAAGGCTCTAGCTACATACCACATAAGTTGATTTTAACATTTTATGGCACTGGGACTCTACCTCAAATTGTTTCACAGTCCACATTTAATCCTGAATCAACTCTGTGTGCTTCAGCATAGTTTCTATCCCTAATGCAAAGGATGGATATGGGACATTTTGTTTGATTGAAATTCTGCTGTGACCTAAATCCTCCTGAAAGGAATACCTCTTAAGATAGACAAGTGTCCTGGAGTCTCCACTTGCATTCCTGTCCTTACAGATGTCTGTCTTCTGCAGCTTGGCCCTTGCTGCTCACTGACAGCCCTGATTAGGGGCTGGTAGAGCAACACCACTGTTGCTCCAAGGACAGTGAAAACGCTTGCACAACTGATTGTTAATTATATGCTTGCATTTCCTGGGAATTCTTTAGAAAATAACCTTGGACCAAGACATCCAGCATTGTGAAAACAACAACACACAATATCAACCACATATAAATGCATTTCTGGGATTCCTACAAACTTCTTAGCTGGTAAACTACAGTCATACTTTTGTCTTTTCAGAGCTAAGACAAGATTGGTTGAAGTACCATTAGGTTTTAATTGAAAAGTAGAAGTACTTGAGTAAATCAAGGCATTGCTATGGATAGGCTTTAACTGTCATGAAATGTTGTACAGGTATTTTTTTTTCCACCGTCATGATGAAGGTGGATGGTACTAATGGGGTAGGCTATGAGAAGAAAAGATTTAAAAGTCCTTTACCCCATCCCAATAAATCTGCCTCTGACAGATATGAACAGACAATCTCTAACTTAAAGAATTAATAAAGCATGCTGTAAAAATGTATGTGTATTTATAACATGCCTGTTTGGATCTGCAAACTGAGTAAAGTCAAATAATGATTCAAACTGCCAACAGAAGAACCTTTGCTTAAGTTTCATTTTGAAATACATCTGAAAACAGTCAGTACCAGTTAGGATTTCTTAACTGCCAGGGGTGACAGGTATCTATTATTGATGGAAAAGATGAGCTGTGGCAGAACCATCTCTTAATATGGAAACACTGATCCACATTTCATTGATATAGAATGAGAACTGCTCATACAAAATGAAAATGTCCTGCTCCAGCTTCTACAAACCTGAACCCAATAGGAAGATATTGCATTAAATTAATTTTGAACACCTTCCCACTACTATTATGATAGGATTTTGAAAGAATATACATCTAGCCTATATATTTTGGAAGACAACATATTAAATCCTCTTCTGAACTATGTATTCCTTCCTATCTTGGCCACATGAAAACACACACCCACAGTACTCTAGGGCTGTTACATTACTCAGAAATACTTACCTCAGTCTAAAAATAGAAGCCTATCAGTGAGAATAACTATTTTATTATTAGAACCTAGAGGAAAATATAATTCATCTTACACAGTTCTAATCTAACAGTGATTTTAGTCTTCTGTCTTAAAATGTAAACTAACAATATTTCTTAAATTTGCGATATTTTATGCAATAAATCTTATTCAGTGATGTTATTCATTAACTTAGCTTAACACAAGTACAAATCCACTTTCTGAATGACCTTATTTAACGTCACTGTAAATGTGGTGAAAGAAGTTGTCAACTCAGCACAGATTACTTGTAAGACTATGTGGAAATTCTTCAAAGGATCAGGTTGTTCTTTTCCACTAAAGGAAAAATTCTGTCATGGGAGTCAGTACCTGCAGGAGTTTCCCCAGGTTAAATACTTTCTATCTTCTTCTGAAGGAATAGCAGTACTGCAGGTTCTAGCTCTGAGCTTCCACAGGAGTCTGGGGAGCCCAGTGAGATCTTATAAGAGCTGTATGTCTTCTTGTTGCTTGTCTACTCCTAAAACACAGTTAAAAGTACCAGCTGTCCACTATAGATATCTGTATAACTGCATGTCTTTGAAAACTTCTCAGTGTGGAAAAGATAGCAAAGGAAAAAAATACATTATATGGCAATTTTACAGACCACTGTCCACTCTTTACTAGGAACAAGGTAAAACACATTATCTTTTTCCTCTAAAACCATATACTAATGATAAAAGTTTAGCCAAATACAGATTAACTCGAGGAGTTAATTTGGACTTTGAAAAACTAAATTTAATTATTTGTGCAAATCTTGTCCAGTTAGCCCATCATAGTATCTTGAGATTCAGTTTTTTATCTAGAATCTAACTGTCAATATATGAGTAGCAAAACATCCATGTTTCAGAAAGAAAATCCACATATTCATTATACAAGATTGTTTGATAGTCTTACAAATCCGTATCAGCAAACTGAATGCACATCACTGAATTTATTGAACTGAAATGAAGGTGACCGTAACTGTTATTCTGGTAACTCCTGCACCTAAACTTCTAACAAAGAGGAGAAAACCCTTTCTAAAGCTGTTGCCATAGAAAGTCAACATTTCTTGCACAGGGCTTCTGATCCTAAAAAGTGCTATTTGAGTGCTCAAATTATGTTAATTAGATTTATTCATGTACTAAACAGAGAAAATGTTTAAGAGGGGAAAAGAGAACCATATCATGTGAATATAAAATAATTAGCAAGATTAGTGGTGGCTGTCATTAGTAGCAGGTGTTAAATGGTTTCAAGCAGAGCGATGTCTTGAATATTTAATTTAATTCCTCTTTTACATTATGTTTATGATTTCCTATTCACCTTTACTCAAAGGCATTGCAAAAGTCAGTTGAGACGTTTCTGTGACATGAGGTGTATAGAACAGGTACGCTATTACAACCCTAGCATGATTTGTGTTCAACTTTAAATCAAGATTGCAATCACTTGCACTTAAAGGACATGTAGATATGGCACTTAGGTACATGGCTTAGTCATGAAATTGGCAGTGCTGAGTTAATGGCTGAAGTTGAAGAACTTTAAAAAGTGTCTTCCATCCTAAAATATTCTATGGTTCTATGACTTGATTACAGCTAGTAGCATTCCAGAGTAGCAATCTTACCTCTAACAGTTACAAGGATTTACAGAAATTTTCTTGGGTTGTGTTACTGTTTAAGATGATCAAGACTGGAGGAGTTTCTCAGTGCACGGAAATACAAGTTTCCCTGGGATGTCACGAAGGTGCACTAACTCACAGCGTAAGTAGAATGCCTTAAATCAGGGAGTAACTTGAAATGGTTTAAACCAACTTTATGTATGTGACATACAAATATCTAGATCATAAACCTGTATGATTGTATGCTCCTCAATACCTAACATATATCTGTATGATACACAGGTAAACTAAGTTTATATTAGGAAAAAAGGCTAAAGCGGTAAATATCAGCTAAAACAACAGGCAATGCACTGACATTTAGCATAATTTAAAATGCAAGAAGAAAAAAATCTACTTAAAACTCAGTCGAAGCAGAGCAAATATTTGAAATTCTGTTCTATACAGTAGTCTCCTTTAAAGGCTTAAATGGATATTCCTATGAATTAGAAGTAAAAATGAGTACTTAGTTAAAATGTACAGTCAAATTGTCAGTTGTCATTGCATCATAATATAAAATGAATTAGCATTTCACCATTTTGGCATAGCCTTCCTAATTCCTAGATTTTTTAAACTGACACAGATGTCTATAGAAAATGATTCATGCTAGGCAGTGGCATATGAGCTGTAATGGACAGAATACAAAAAATAATTTTATTGAAGTAAATTTTTGCATTAAAGTATTATTTTTGCACTAAAGTACTATTTTTGTATTAAAGTATTATTTTTGTTGCCTTTGCCATTGTGCTGTCTTTTCAATGAGTATGACAAGTTCTAAAAAATATATCCCAGAAAAGAAAAATTTTTTCATGGATGAGGCATTCGATCTTTTTATCTTACTAAAAACAATAGTCCAAATAACCATGTTTATTTGTCCTTAAAAACCCCACCATTCTCTCAAATGTTCATATATATTTGATAGTACAAGACTGATCTGACTTTATTAAATAATTGCATTTGATATTAGATACAAAACTAGTTGACATTACATAACAATAGATGTGATTATTTCTAACTCTATGACATATATATTTTCAAATGCAATACTTTTCAAATATTAGGAAACT